TAGGTTGAATGATATTATTGTAGTTCTCTGAAGCAGTATTACATTGTATTTATAGAGTTAGTTAGGTCAACAACTAACTGACTCTAACCTAACTCTTAACATAAATAGGAAGTCTATTCTAGTGTATATCTAACATCCCCCCCTCAAAGTAAAGGTGACTGATCTGTAGTATCAACAACATTAAGCTTTGTTCTGAGATCAAGAAAATTGGAGCTTGAGAGTGGTTTAGTTAGAATATCTGCAACTTGATATGAGGAAGGAATGTGATAGACTTGAAGCTGCTTCAGATGAACTTTTTCTCTGACAAAGAAGAGATCAATTTCCATATGCTTGATCCTAGAGTGTAGGACAAGATTATGAGCAAGTTGTACAGTACTCAGGTTGTCACAATATACTTTGGGAATGGAAAAAGATACTCAGAGCTCTTATAGAAGAAATTGAATCCACTGAACTTCTGCAGTAATATCAGCTAGGCTTCTATATTCAGCTTCAGCTGAAGATCTTGCTACTCTGAGTTGCTTTCTTGACCACTAGGAAACGATATTGGAACCCAGAAAAATGCATGAGTGACGAGCACTTTGTCACGGTGCGTCAAAATAAATCGATACTAAAACTTATACGTAGTATAGGTGAAGTAGAGTTTGTATCCACAGGGAAAGGAATACTTTTCTTTTTAATTTAAGAAGTAAGTACAGGGGGGATTTGGATTGAATGTTTTAATTTAATTAACACTAAGATGAACGACTTATATGAGATTTAATTCAAAGATAAAAAGGACTTGGTCTTGCTACTTTCCACTTGTTGATATATTTTAGTCGATCATTGTTATATCTATAACTTATCCCCTCTCGAATACTCAATCGAGGAGTATATCCAATTCATCGAGGGTAGTTATTAACAACGACCGTTCATTAATAATCCTTACTTTTAATCAAATATAGAACAACGCCTTATACTAATTTAAAAGAAGCATTTAATCTTTCTATCTCCTTGATGAAATCATTTGAGATTTATAACCTCAACACAATGGTTTCAGTTTAACCAACAAAATTGATCCCTCTCTAGTTTATTAACCACAACCGTGCATTAATAAACCGAAGTTACTTACTTGTGAAACCATCAACGATTAACCATCGGTTCGTTGATCGTTTCTAGTAGTAATTAATGTCGGAATGTTAACTAATCGTCACTTAGCAACCCTCCAACATTAATATAGAATGAGATTAAGGGAAGAATTAATAATCAAGAGAAGAAGTTAAGAAAATAACTCACAACTTTAATAATCAACAAGCTTCAAGAGCAAAACCAAGAAATGGAAGTTTAGCTCCTCATTTGGAGACTAAAACATGCTAAAAAAATATAAAGAAATGCTATTCTAGACTAAGCTTAAGAGTATATGTGAATTGGTGAATTAATGAGGAGGAAATGAGGTGTATTTATAGGCTTTTTAGGCTTGCAGGGTCGTGTACCCGATCGGGCTGTAAGGGCACTCGATCAGGTACTCGGTTGCTTCGCGGAAGTATAAAAAACTGGGACATACCCGATCGGGTATGTCGGCCACCCGATCGGGTATGAACACTCGATCATGGCCAAAATCTCCCCTGCATGTTGCCTTGTTCCCAGGTTGATCCGATTTGATTTTTCAGCGACTTACCCGATCGGGTATAGGTCATACCCGACCGGGTACAACACCAAAAATCAAAATCTTCAATTTGTCTTGAGATTTTTTGCACCTTCCTTCCATTTGTGATGTTCACCAATGGTCCCTAGAGTGATCTTGGACCTGTTTGAGCTCAGTATAAACCTAATCTAAACAAATTACATACATTTTTACAAACTAAACTATTACACCAAAAGTGTGTAATTTCCAAAGTAATAATCAATCTAAACTAACTAAAAACATAAACATAAACATGGAAATTACATGAATGTCAATGAGCCAGATGTAGATTTTCTATCATTAGGATCAGATGTCCAGTCTGCATCACAGTAGGCTGAATTGGAAGAGGTATGGAGGACAGAGGTAAAGGTTTGATGACGAGACCATGATTAATTGTGCCTGATAGATATCTCAAAATATGTTTGACTGCAAGCCAATGTTCTTGCAGTGGTGCAGCCATAAACTGGCAGACTTTGTTGATTGAATAACAGATGTTAGGTCTAGTTAGAGTAGCATATTGTAGAACATCTACCACATATCTGTAGTAGGAAGGGTTGGGAAGATAATTACTACCCTCTTGAGTGAGTTTGCAAGTGCCAACCATGGGTGTTTTTACTCCTTTGGAATCAAGCATACCAGTTTGACTAAGTAAATCCTTGATATGCTTAGTTTGAAAGAGATGTAGACTTCCATCAGGTAATTTGTGTGCTTCTATACCTAAAAAGAAATCAGGATCTCCCAGATGTTTCAAAGATCTCCCAGATGTTTCAAGTGTTTTAATAAGTTGATGGATAGCAGTAGGCTGGTTCCCAATAACCAATATATCATCAACATAGATCAGAATGTATATTTGAATACCAGAGGACAGATAGATGAGTAAGGAGGGATCACATTTACTTTGTTTGAATCTTGCTTGATAAACAACTGATGTTAATTTGAGAAACCAAGCCTTTGGGGCTTGTTTAAGACCATACAAGGACTTGTGTAACTTGCAAACCACGGAAGTATCTTTCACTTGGAAGCCTGGAGGCTGCACCATGTAAACTTCTTCATCAATTTCACCATTTAAGAATGCATTATTTACATCCAACTGGTGAACAGACCAATTGTTAGACACTGCAAGTGTGAGAAGAATTCTTATTGTGACAGGTTTGACAACTGGAGAAAATGTTTCTCCAAAGTCAGTACCAATCTTTTGACGAAAACCCTTAGCCACAAGTCTGGCTTTGTATTTGTTTAAGGAACCATCATGATTTTTTTTTAATTCTAAACACCCATTTACAGTCAATTGCTTGCTTGTCTGGAGGAAGAGGTACAAGAGACCAATTGTTTTGTACTCGCATTGCATAGCCTCAAACCAGTGAGGTGAAGAAAGAACTTGTTTCACTGAGTTAGGCTCAGTATGAGCTAACAGTAAAGTTGGATTAAGCCTTGGTTTTACTATCCCAGATTTGGCTCTAGTCCTCATAGGATGATTATTGATGACAGGAGTAGAGGAGATGGGAAGACTGGGAGGTGAGGGCCGAGTGGTATTGATAGGTAAGGTCACAGGAGTGGAAGAATTAGAGGAGGCTGACTTTGATGAAGAATGTTGATTTTGCGGATTTGAAGAAGATTGAGATTTTGAAGAAGATGACTAACTGGAATTATTAGAAGAAGTTGATGAATTGAAGGGAAAAGAGATAGATATAGGGACAGATATAAGTAAAGAAGGTTCAGATGATGAAGAAGTTGTTAAGGGAAAAAAGAATGGGATAAGGAAATTTTGATTCATGAAAAATAACATCTCGAGAGAGATATATCTTGCCTGAAGGAGACAGACACTTGTAACCTTTGTGTGTGGAAGAGTATCTAAGAAAAATGCATTCTTCAGAGTGAAAGGCAAGTTTGTGTTTGTTATATAGTCCAATAAAAGGGTAACCGGAGCAGCCAAAAACTTTGAGAAAAGAATAGTCAGGATGAGAGTTGTACAATTTGAAGTAAGGGCTAGAATTAGAAAGATTTTTTGGATGGAGTTCTGTTGATGAGATGAACTGCAGTGGCAAAGGTTGCATCCCAGAATTTAAGAGGAAGTGAGGAATGTGAGAGAAGAGATAGGCCTTTTTCAACAATTGTTCTATGTTTCCTTTCCACAACACCATTTTGGTGATGTGTGTGCAGACAAATAATCCTGTGAGTGATTCCTTTTTCAGACAATAATTGATTGAAAGACCTGAATTCACCTCCCCAGTCAGATTGTATGGACTTAATTGACACGGAAAATTGGTTAAGAACATAATTTGTAGAAGTTGGTGAATGAAGAAACAGAATCAGATTTTCTTTTTAAAAAATACACCCAAGTCAATCTGGTTGATGCATCTATGAAAGCAATGTAATAAGAGTATCCATCAAAGGATAGAAATGGGGCTGGACCCCAAAGATCATTAAAGATGAGTTCAAAAGGTGTTATTGTATGTAGTGGTGGAAGAAAATGAAGGCAGTCCGTGTGATTTGCCTAAACAACAAGCAGAACAGAACTCAACAGCTGCTTCACTCTTTGCGCAGTTTCATAATGTTCCTAACCAACAATCCACATCGTTTTATTAACAAAAGGAACATTACATTGCTGAAGTACACATTTGAGAGCCTCAAAATAAGGATGGCCAAGTCTTAAATGCTAAAGATTACAAGTGTCAGAGTTATTACATGGTTTAGGATTATTACAAGTAGATAGAAAAGTAGAACTGGATGGTGACAAAGAAGAGGGTATTCTACTTGGTGAAGGAGATTGAACAGGAACTGATTGAAACCTATAAAGACCATCATGTCCAAGAATACCATGCAAAAGAATCTGTTTAGAAACCTGAGATTTGACAAAACATTCATAAGGATAAAATTCAAAAAAGACGTTATTATCTTTAGCAAATTGTATGACACTAATTAGATTCTTAGTTATAGAAGGAACATGCAAAATATTATTGAGAGAAAGCGATAAGGAGGACTGATAGGGTGAGGGAAAGGTAGTAAAACCAATGGACTTTATATCCAAACCTTGACCATTTCCCATAAAAAGCTTATCAGTTGTGACAATAGGGGTGCACGCAAGCCAAGCCGCTCGCGAGGCACTTGTGAATCGCTCGATCACCGCTCGCCTCGAGTTCGGTCATGTTCGAACTCGATCCGAACTCGAGCTAGCTCGGTAAGGTGTCGAGCCATGTTCGAGCACTATTATTCTTGGCTCACGGCCCGCGAGCCGGTTTGCGAGCCATACTATACTTATACATATATTTATATATATTTAATATTTTATGAATGGCCGTGATTAAAAGTTTAAAGTGGGCTTATTTTCTAAACTCCTTATCAAATGTGTAACCCTAAAAGTTGGCTAAAAGTTCTAAAACTATTCATCCGATGAAGTTCTTCTGGTCTCTCTTCTCCTCTCGCGCCCAGACATCTTCTACCGTAACTCAACTACTCAAGTAGCGATGGCGTGATACTCACAGTAGAAGAGGGCGTCCAAGTAGCTTGTCTATCTCGAGCTTCTCCCCCATTACAACCCGCTTCAATTAGGTATTTCCACCGTCCTTTGTTCTAGTAGGATTATATTTATTATCAAGACAATGAAGTACGCCGGTGCAGAGCCTAGGAAATATCACCTGCATCTCCTCCGCGAACTGGAAGAGCACTGCGAAGTAGTACCCTTTGCTTTCAGTTTTGGGAATTTTTGGATTATTGCTTTGATTCCTTGCCGTTTGATTGTATTGACATTTTCCTGTGTGTACAATATCTAAAATATTCATAGTGCTCTAATTCAATTCATATCATTATTAGAAATTCATAACAGAGAGTTTAGGCCTTTAGCCACTTAATTAGAAGCTTTTATGAGTGGCTTTTAAGTTTTAGCTTCTAATGTTTTAGTCTATAAAAGTGTAGCTTAGAGCGGTTTTTATTATATGAACATATGCTCCATGATATAATTAGTGAACCACCTTTTTGTATTTTTCAGCTACATATTGTATTATTATTTCTAATAGTTGGCTAGTTTCAGAGTGCAGACTAACATCCTTTTCATTGTGGGAAAATGATAAAGGAGTACTAACCTCTTCTTCTTGAAAAAGATAATACATAAACTAATTGCTTTAATCTTCTACAGACTAGGTATTCGTTTCATCAAGCATGTCTACATAAGATGCATCCATTCAACTAAATCCACACACCCCAAGCAGTGTAGTTGTTGAAAGTAATGAGCTACAAGAACAAAGTGATCAAGTTGAAAGAATAGAACCAACTGTAGCTAGCCATAGAACTTCACAAAATGCTGAAGAAGAGGAGTTTCAAATAAAGAAAAGGAAAAAGACTTCTCATGTATGCGATGATTTTGAAGTTGTCATGGTAAAAGGGGTTAACAAAGCGATGTGTACTCATTGTTCACGCCATTTTGCATTGATTAAAATGGGTACCACAACTAGCTACAAGAGGCACCTGAAGAATTGCGTGCAGAGAAAATTGAAACTCAAGGTAAGTCTTTAAATGTTCCATGCAAGTGTATATTATTTTTTTCTTACACATAAATTGATCTTTTGTTATTTTGTTTTGTAAGAATTAAAATAGCCTGGTCTTACTAATATATTATTTCCTTTGTATATAAGGTTGTTATTATGGATAAATGAAATCATGGACATGCAACAACAGCAGCAACTTGTTGTTTAGCAGACTCATAGCTCTGGTCTTTTGGAATGTCAAGACCCTTGAACACCGGGCTGTCAACTCCAAGTACCAAGCATTTCAGCCGTTATTGACATACATAACTGACCCCATTATGGCTGAAGCCAACGGTGATGCCAGAAAAGACCATGTACACCCGTTGCAGACTGCTCTCAAAGATATTTAGAGCTGGAACCCATGTACCAACAAGAATTTCAGCACCTGCAGATGCAAAAGATTTTGTTATTTCCCATCCGTAGCCATTATCATCAGCTACATAAGCAATATATTATTAAATCTACTTCCCTATCTTTACAGCCAACTAACTTATTTCACTTATGGCTTTTTGTGTACAAACTGGAGAAACAAACCAAATTGACTTTTTCACCGTGCGATGGAGCTGCGCCATCACTTCCTCCTTTACATCCTGGAAAGTTCGACATGGCACAAATGAGGGAATCAGCGGCACATTGGACAATGATGCATGAGCATCCTTTTAGCATTGTAGAAGAAGGATTTAACCGCATGATGAAACGAGGAATGCCCGAATGGAAAAGAATCGGTAGAAACAACCATAAGACAGATTGCATGAAGGTTTATGAGCTTGAGAAGAAGAAGTTAAAAAAGAATCTGGAAGGAATTAGTAAGATAAGCTTGACAACAGATTGTTGGAAATCAAAAACTCAAAAGATTGAGTATATGGTTGTCACTGGACATTGGATTGATTCTTCTTGAAAATTACAAAAGAGAGTCTTGAGCTTCATCAACATTCCACCGCCAAGGGGAGGTCTTCAAATTTCTGATTCTTTATTCAAGTGGATGAAAGAGTGGGGAATCGAGAACAAAGTTTTTACTGTCACGGTTTATAATGCTACAAGTAACGATTCTGCAATTTGTTATATGAAGAATACAATCCAAATGTCAAGAAAGTTGGTTTGCGATGGAATCTTATTCCATGTTCGCTGTTGTGCTCACATTTTAAACTTGTGTGTTCAAGATGGGCTAGATGAGATTCGTCATATTATTAGTGAAGTCAAAGACAGTGTTGAATATATTAATCGCTCAGAGGCAAGGAGGATTCAATTTGCTAATTGTGTGCACCAATTGCAAATTTGCAATTGAAAGATAGGAAGTTGATTTATGATAGCAAAACTAGATGGAACTCAACTTTTGAAATGCTAAGTTGTGCGCTCAAGTTTAAAGACGCTTTTAGGATGCTAAGTGATCGTGATTCGAGGTATACTAGCTGTCCTCTTGAAGAGGACTGGGAAAAGGTTCAAAAAATTAGTTCGGTGTTGGAGGTATTTTAGACAGCGACACATATAGTTTCAGGCAGTGATTATCCTACTTCGAATTTGTTCTTGAAAGAAGTCCAAAAAATCAAATCATCTTTGGATGCCAATTCAAGTCACAAGGATTCTTTCATTTGGGAGTTAGTTTGCAAAATGAAACTAAAGTTTGATAAATATTGGGGCGAGTGCAACTTATTGATGGCCATAGCTGTGGTGTTAGACCCCACAAAGAAATTGCTTGCAATCGAGTTTTGTTTTCCTAAAATGTTTTCGTCGGAGGAAGCTGGACAAAATATTTCAAAAGTGAAGAAGACTTTGACTTCTCTTTATGAAGAGTATGTTGCTGATTCGGTGAACAAAGGGAATACTTCTTCAATATATTCTGAAAGATGTGGTTCTTCAAGCAATCTTCAGACTACTAAAAGTTCTGCCCATGTTTGGGATGACGAACTTGAATCATTTTGTGCAGAAGTCGAGACTGTAGAGCCTATAAGATCTGAACTTGTAGATTACCTAGATAAGAGTCGCCTCAAGAAGAGTGAAATTTCTGAAGACTTTTCTTGTTTGGACTGGTGGTGTATGAACCGGATACAGTATCCAATACTCGCACAAATGGTTACAGATATTTTTTCCATTCCAGTTACAAGTGTGGCTTCCGAAGCCACTTTTAGTGCAGGTACAAGAGTTATTGATTCTTATCGTGCATCATTGTTACCTAAAACGGTTCAAGCTCTCCTTTGTGGAGGAGATTGGCTTCGACGTATGTATGGGATAATGAAAAAGAAAGTAAGAAATATTATCTTGCTTTTGTAATTTTAAATACATTACTTAAAATTTATATTAATGGTTACTTTGTATTGCGTCAGTCATACCAAGAAATAATTCTTCCCGAGTGCATGATGAAAGTAGGTTACTTTCAATCTCTATACATTATTTGATGGTTAACTTTAAATACGTTTTTTACACAAAGTCTGTCGTTATAACTATGATGGAAAGAAAGCAAAACGGTAACATAAGAAAGATTGCTTCAGTCTAGGTAGCAGCTTTCTTGATCTCAACTCAAAAGTCTAAAGTTTAAGTTGAGTCCTCATATAGGGTGTTGAATGCAGGCAACATCAAGTTTGCTCTGTAAAATGTGAAAATGTAAGATTCGTTGTTTTCTCTATTTGCCATAAAGTTTGCAGTATAAGTTCCCAAAATGAGGTGAGTTGGAAAAAGAAAAACCAAAGGCTACTTGCAGGTAGCTAGCAAAATTAAAATACAATGTTTCTTACAACCATCTCTATTTTTTCTACTTCTTCTACTTCTACTGCTGCTTCCTCACCTCACTTCCTTCTCTAATGTAGTTAGAGAAGTTCAATGGTAGTTTTTTTTAATTTACTCTTTCATCCCCAGTGCTATCTCCCACCATATATTATTATATATGCTGAATTGCTGATATGGATGCTTCCACTTCAGCATCTATTTTATATTTTATACGTATTGTCTCTATTTTGTTTTTTCTTTTCAAATCTATTCTTACTTGTTGTCTTCATAAGGTTGACCACTTTACAGTAAAAAAAAAGGTTTACCACTTTTATTGTCTATCTACTAAAATTTATACGTCTCTTTAATTCCATTATCGAAAAAGAATTCGAACAAATTTTATTTTTTCCTAACAATCAAAGTGAGTTATTTTTGGGAACAAAACATATTTAGCCATATTCTATTTCTATTATTATGACTCATGAGTTAAAAATATTTAAGGATCGAATGCAAGGAGCATATGTGCGCAAGCTTTGTTCTACAGAAGTCCTATTTCCATTGATTATGACATACTCTTAGCATTCTTAATGCTTGATTTCTGTAAAGATAATAGAAGAAACAATCATGTTTGATGTGATGTTTAAAATTTACAGACTAGCAAGGGTAACTTTTCTCTGGCAAGGGTGTTTGCTGTTAATACAATCCGGATGACAAAATACATGGAACTTGGAGTTGAAAAGCACGTTTGAATGCCCAAAGCTTTTCTTTACTCAATTTCCTTTTTTGCTCAAAGAACTATAACTAGTGGTTATTATTTTTTGTATTGGAGTTTAGAACAACCGTTGTGAACTTGTGATATTAAACTAGTTATGGTATTTAAAACTCATGTTTGGATATTTTAGTGTACATCATATTTTTGTTTTAATATACAAATTTGGTTATTTTATTTGGTTTTCGAGCATAAGCTTGACTTTGCGAATGTGAAAATTCTAGCCTACCGAGCCCAACGAGCCGAGCTCAAACCATATGAAATATTGATGAGCCAAACTCGATCCCATATTATTACACTAGTTCGAGCTCGAGCTCAAGTTCAAGTCAGTATAATTATTTCGAGCTTGAGTTCGAGCATACCCCAGATCGGGCTCGGCTTGAATACACCCCTAGTGACAAGTGGTTAACTGTGTTGCAGGTTCAGAGGGTCAGCAGTAACATGATGAGTAGCTCCAGAGTCTGGATACCAAGTTTGATTCTGTGGAGCAGGTCCTAGAATGGAAGGAGTAGCACTAGCTCAAGATGCAATAGGAGATGAAGCATATGACTGTTGAGAAGCTGAAGGATAAGGCTGTGAAGTTGAGGCATTGTAGGATTGTATATGAGGTGAGGTATATGGTTGTGGTTCCCAGTGAGGAAAATGTGAAGTAGGAGGTGGAGTATTGAATTGGTTGGGAGGAAATCTTGGTTCTTAAGGAGCTGGTGTAGGATTAGAAGGCTGATAGTTTGAATAAGGATTGTATTGGTTATTTGAAGAAATATTGTAAGAAGGATTGTCTTGCTTTAGCGAGGATATGAGACTTAAAATATCTATCGATCTCACTCCACAGTTGATGCGAGAATCTACAGTGAATGAAGCGAGCATTGAAGGATTCAGAGAGCGAGGCTAGCAACCACGAAAACAACATCTGATTTTGTTGCTCCCAGATAGCATACTCTTCATTGACGTTTCCACTTGCTTCATCATTATCAGAATTGTACTGCTTCGGAATCACTGGTCTTACAATGAATCGCAGTAGTTTATGCGCTCGAACAACTGATTCCACATGATGCTTCCAGAAGAGAAAATTGTTCGCATCAAGTTTGATCAGAAGAGCATGTGCGAAGGTTACGATAGAACTGGAATTGCTAGAATTGACAGTAGAGTGTGAAGAATCATCAGAAATTGCCATGGATCGAGCTAAAGCTCTGATACCATAATAGAAAGTAAACAGATAGAAAGAGAAAGAAGAAGCTGAATGATATTATCGTAGTTCTCTGACGTTGTATTACATTGTATTTATAGAGTTAGTTAGGTCAACAACTTACTGACTCTAACCGAACTCTTAATAGAAATAGGAAAGTCTATTCTAGTGTATATCTAACATATGTGAGCTGTTTAGACAGCAACATCAGACAATGGATGTACGAGATGGGCTCGGGGAATGACCTCTTGCATACCTTTTCGACCCAGAGGCTAGTCTTACAGTCGCCGTGACCGATCAGCTAATCCTGCACTTAGAAAATAGTTTGTTCATTTCCTTGCCCGAGGATCGAGCCGTGGTCGACTAAACACCGAGAGCGGGGTGTTATATTATTTTTTTTCCTTTTTTCCCTGTCGCCCGTTCATTTCCATGTGAGGTCAGACCAAGTTGCTCCAAGTTCTGCACTTGGAAACCGAAATATATTTTTCTAAGTAGTGAATGAATTTGAGAACTTGAAGAGTTGCTCCAAGTTGTGTACTTGATCTACAATTTGCGATGATCCACACAGAGAATGTGAGAGAGTTGATTTGCGCTCTGTGCTTGATATACAAGCTTGTGATGCTCCGCTAGCGCTCATAGGATTTGAGAAGTTGATTTGTGCTCCGCACTTGATCTATAAGCTTGCGATGCTCTGATCATAGGATTTGACAAAGTGCCATGCGCTCCGCACTTGATCTACAAGCTTGCAGTGCTCCGCTCATAGAATTTGACAAGGTGTCCTATGCTCTGCACTTGATCTACAAGCTTGCAGTGCTCCGCTCGTAGAATTTGAGAAGTTGTCATTCACCCCACACTTGATCTACAAGCTTGATCCGCTTTGCTCATAGAATTGGACAAGGTGCTTTGTGCTCCGCACTTGATCTACAAGCCTCCATGTTGTGGTCTTCAACTTGTAAGATCAGCCAGGATTTGCAATGATCTTAATCTTCCGTTTCAATCTATCAGGGTCGACCTGGATTTCTTCTACTTCTGAGGTGAGTTCAGCACGGAGCTGACCCTCATACTTTTTAGCTTTGTTGTTGATGGTATGGACTCTGAGGTACCTCAGCCCGAGTTGCTTTCACGCCTTCGTGTAACAGCTTGAACGCCTTCATGAAACAACTCTGTGTTGCAAGGTTTGTACCCCTTTGGAAAAGGTTCTGCCACACCTTAATGTAATAGCTCCGCGTTGCAAGGTTTGTTCCACTTTAGCAACGATGCTCCCACGCCTTCATGTAGTAGCTCTGCATTGCAAGGTTTGTACCCCTTGGCAACGGTGCTTCCACGCCTTCATGCAATAGCTACGCGCTGTAAGGTTTGCCCCCTTTGACAACGGTGCTTCATCATGGTATGAGTGAATGGTTCTGGGGTGCAGGGATACAGTGCACACGACTCTCTCATGATTACCTACACAAGGTCTAACCAGGGCTACACGGACAATTGATTGTGGTCGGACGTTTTCTCCGGCAGCTCTGTCTTGCGCTACCACAACAATTGATTATTGTTGTGTATCCGGATCACCATGTCGAGCTCGTGCAACCAAGCATCCTAGTAGTGACCATGAGCCCACCTCACCAGGTAGGCTCGAAAGTAATGTCTCCATGTCCATGTTAGTGGTATGGCTCGAAAGCTCGTGCACCTCTTCCCGCGACATTAACCATTGAAAGCCTTAAGCCAAAGGTTTAGAGCATAGGTGGCTTCCTGGAACACCTGCACCCCAACGTCAAGTTTTGTCGGGTTTCGTGCGCAGAGCATGACGTGGCTCACCTTCGAGTCGATCACTGCCATATGACCCATTATGACTGCGGTCCAGTGTACCCCTAAAGTATCCAGGATTCAACAGTTGATATCGGACCAATTTCTACTAGTCGGCTCAATTAATAAGTATATAATCCCGGACCAATTTCTACTAGTCAGACTATGTTCTGAGCTTGATTGGGTCAAAGTTCGGGTGTAACGGGCCGATAGTCTTGGACCCGGCTCATTATCCCAAAAATAGTCATATTAATTGCTTTATTTCCCAACTTATAATCTAGCCTATAAACTTTATAGATTACGATTCCTTATCAATAAATAACAAAATATGTATTCAAATATTGTATTCATACCAAGGGATTAATATCAATACGATGGCCTTGGTCATTATCACGAACGTGCAACGCACATTACATAACTAGTTGTATGATAAGGTGGAGTTGTTGGTAGGCATGGACCCAACCGGGCCGAACCGGCCCAAAACCGAATTGGCCCAGAACCGGACCGGCGCGCTACTGTGCGGGCCTAGATGGCCGATTCCGGACTTTAGCCCGGTTTGGGCGGTTCTGCCAGGCCGGTTCCGGGCCACGATTTTCATGAACCGGCTCGGGTGGTTCGGGCCAGGCCCGGTTCAATTTTTTTTTTTCAATTTTTTTTCTTTTCCTTGGGTAGGGCTGGGTGTTTTGGGAGGTCTTGAGGGTGGGGGTAGGGTTGTAAACGAATCGAATCGAATCGAATAGTGAGTAATATTATTCGTATTCGTATAAATTGACGAATATTCGTATTCGTATTCGAATATTATTCGAATCTTACAATCGATTCGTATTCGATTCGTTTATTGTATTTGAGTATATTCGAATATTCGAATTCGAATATTCGAATTCCAATTCAAATATTTGAAGTTTCAAAAAAAAATCACCGATTCAAATTATGACTCATTTTAGGCATTTTTCGATTTTCACAAATGTCTATTATATGAATTATTTCAAAATTATAAATATAATAGAATATATATTTATAATTCGTAAGTATACAAATCGAATATATTCGAATAACTTACGAATCGAATATATGTATATTCGTATTCGTATTCGAATTTTATTCGAATAATAAAATTGATTCGTATTCGAATTCGTATTCGAATATTTCGAATTCGAATCATCAATTTCGAATTCGAATCGCGAATCGGATCAAAATTATTCGATTCGTTTACAACCCTAGGTGGGGGTGAGGGAGGGGGGTCGGGGGTTAATTAGAAAGCCAAAACAAAAAAAAATTACATAGACCCGACCCCGACCCGATTTGGCTCAGACCCGGCCCGACCCGATTTGGCCCAGACCCGGTATCAAGCCGGGCCGGTTCCGGGCCCAACATTCCGAAAAAATAGCCCGCCCAGGCCTAGGCCCAGCCCGGGTCCACCCCCAGTTGTTGGTATATAAACAACACAACCAAATAGTGGTGGAGATGATGATTTTGAAATGAATTGAAAGAATGATTACCAAACATAAACCATACTACCTTTCAATTTGATTCAATTCAGTTTGATTCGGTTTTGAATTGTTATTTTTTTAATAATATATAAAAGTTCTGTTGAATTTCTTTAATTCAGTTCAATTTTCTCAATTTCGGTTCAATTCGATTTAATACGGTTTGAAAAATATGCACTCAAACTCAAACCAAATAGCATATGGTTTAGTTTCAGTTCGATATGGTATGATTAGATCCGGTTAAACCAAATCAACATGCCCACCCCTACAATCAAATATGAGAAAGTATCATTAATCCTCTCTAAACTAGGTGCTAATTATGAATAATGATGATAATATCTTTCTGATCATGAATAGTTAGAAAATGAGTTATTCAATTATATTTTAACATAAATGAATTGAATCACATATATTACAGAGTTAAGTCATAATTATATCTTAGCTTTAATAATACATTATATTTAATAATACATGTTTCACCACAACTATCTCACATGTTCAAGGATCATTTTGAACACTTCAGCTACATTTATCAATAAATTTCTAACACACACATTTGCATCACGCTTTCGTAATTACAACATGAAATGAGATAATAAAACCACCTCATATTCAAGTAATATATGTAAGAAGCTTGGAAAGAAAAAGAAGCAACCCCATAACCTTGGAACTCTTCCTTGCTCCCAAGCCTCCGGAATACCTGATCAAACTTTACAGACACAGACCTGTAGCCAGACAGAATATACATATAGGCTATACTTGAGATCAATTAACACAGAACCAATATGACAGTGGAGATTCTAGAGCTCACACAGGTGTACTGAAAATATATAAGCCACCTGCTGGTGTTAGACATTATAAACTGTGTATTCTTCAATGTTTTTAATTTTGTGATGTATAACATATGCCACCCTCATATGGGCGGGGGTAGAATCGCCATCCCCAAAATGGCGGCATGTACCTCAGCCCAACTGGAGACTGTATAGAGAATCCCCGACATCGAATTCCAGTTAAAGGAGCCACTTCCTGGCATTTCTCTATGTTTCTTGACCAATCCAGAGAAGAAAGGAATAAAAGTAACCCCAAACCGCTCACCTAAAATCCTTAATCTGTCACTCATACCTATCACAATCCCAATATCTGCATTCAGAAGGCATAGCATGTCACCTACAGAACCTCCTACGTATACTGTTAGTGGTTTCCTCTTGTTCCCGTGGCTGTTCAAGATGCCATTGAAGGCGCTAAGCTTGTCCGTAGGGGATTCTACCTTCTGAATTATTTCGCCTGTGGTAATAGATCCTTCATAAACCAACTCGTTTGAATGCACACTCAGAGAACCTGTTTTCCCTGCTGAATATGAAGAAAACAGAAGGGCATGTTTGGTAAGGGGATATTTGGCTGAAATGCCCGAACAGGCGGAAGTAAAAAAAAGTTCAGTAACAACCATTTAGTCCTAATAAGTAAGTCAATTAGGCAAACACAACTTATTCGGGCTGCATGTCTACTTTGCTGCTACGTATTATAAGACAAAGTTGCCTATCAAACAGAGTGTCATGTCCTAGGTTGTTATGTGTGTCACATAGAATATTTACCATGTATGTATTTAATACGGAGTATATAACAATGATGCATAAGCATACCTCTTCAAGATCTTTTTAGGGTGAATTACACCCATCTTTAATACGGTCTTACAAGTTTTACAACCCGGTCCAGTTATGATTTATTTGTTTATATGGCACTATAGCTTTGTTTACGTCCAGTCAACTTGGCCCATTTATCGACCCCTCAAATTGTCTAT